CCAATTTTACTATAAATAAACTTTAGAAAATAATACGTATAATCATATATAATATTTCCAAAAAAATAATAAATTAAATTAAATAAGTTTGTTGTTTTTGCTCTTAAAAAATAATATATTTATATGTATGCTCGCAATAAAAAATATTATTTTCATCTTCGTTCAATATTAAATTAAATATTCATAATTACTATAATATTTGATTTATTTTATTGATCAAAATTTATAGATTACATTATTTAAATAGTGTATAAGTTAGTTAATTTTTAAATAAAAAAGTTTAAGTTATTTAAGTGTTTTGAGTAATATAGACTTACAAGGTCAATTAGTTTATTTATATATTTGGTAAAATTCAATTTACTATTTTTTAATAAATACAAAAATATGAATAACTAAGTTCAAGACTTACTTATAACATGTCTAAAAAATATTTTAAAAAATAAATAGTATTTGGTATAGAATAAATAAATTAAAAAAAAATAAATGACATATTATATTTTGCAAAATATATAGGTTGAAATTTCAGAATTTCTTTAAAGACCCTTTCAATTTTTTTTTTTGGTTGGTTAACAATAATATTTTACAAGAGTTGGAGACTAATATTTTTTTAAAGATATTATTACAAGAAATATATAATTTATAAATCTTTAAAAGTAAAAAAAAAAAAAACCTTAAAAATATTATAAGCTCTTACTGACTTCTCCCAAATCATTGGCAAAGCTTGTCCCTTAAAGCATGAAAGTAGGAGACTGACTGCCCATAATTCCAATCAATTTTGTTTCTTGCAAAATTTGGGAAAATTTTAAGGCACTTTGTAAGATATTGATTGCATAAATCAGATTTTTAATTATATGCATTTTAAATACATATGCAAAAAAAGAAACCACTATAATATAAAAATACATATATTAATTATTAGGTAATATATATATAATAATTATAATACAATAAAAAGTAATTTTTAAATAATAATATACGAATCAATTAACTCGAAAAGGCTGATAATTATTAAACTAAGTGGTTTAAATTCATTTTAATAATGAAAGCAAAGTGAAAATAGAGATTATTGATGATGAAATGATAGGCTTGAGTGGCTAATGCACTTGGTAAACCCTAATTTATTAGAAAGTAAATGCCCACAAGAACAGTCAGAGCGAACTTGAGAAAAAAAAAAAGTTCAAATTTTTTAATAAAAAAGTTTAGTTTTTTAAATTTTAAAAAGCTCAACTTTTTTAGTTTTAGTTTTAGCTTTTTTTTTTTTATAAATAAAAGAAGCTAAATTGTTCAAATCAAATGTGAACTCAAAAGCCAAATGAGTGGGTTTGTGTATAGGTAGAAATCTCTTTGAAGTGGAGCCTACCAGCCATACTTCCTCTGATCGATCTTTTTGCCTCTATAATCTTCCCATTTTCCTTTCTTCAACGGTGCTCTATTTTGCCGCCTCTACATTACACCTCTTTCAGACAATTTTTACAGAAACAGACAACAAAGAGAAAATCTTTTTTTGAGAGAGAGGGACAGAAAGTTTGAAGCTTTTACTGATTAAACGAAGAAATCTGTGCTGGGTCTTTTTTGTATTTTTGAAAGATTGGTCTTCAACAACACTTTCCTTTATTCTCTGAAAAGGTAAGCTAAATTCCATTTTCTAAAAAATAAAATTTCCCTCTATATATATATATATATTTTTGGAAACTGGGTCTCCGTGGAATCTCTCCTTAAATGTCAATAGTCCATTACTTTCAATGCCATATTGAGACAAAAACAACGGTTTAAGTATGTGTCTGTATGTCTCTCAAGTCTCCCTCCAGCCAATTTAACAGTCATGAGCTTTTTTCTTTTGTTTTCCGGAATACGGTCTTCTTTTGCAGGTTGGTTAAGTTAGTTGAACTGGCTGCAGGCAACACAGAGATTTGGATTTCATATTTTGGCTTTCTTATTGGTTGCAAGGCACTGGGTCGATTGGTTTGGTGGCAGATTTTAATCTATGATAACATTCTTGAGTTTCAAATCCTTGTGTGTTCTCAGATCTAAATTTACATTCACATGGTCTTCCCTCCTGTTTATTTGAAGAGTGGGTCTTCAGTTTTTATTTAATTGAGGATGCTTCTTTATATGTTAGATAGCTTTTTAGATCTACAAAGCCCTAATATTGAAGGTTTATTGATTTACATATTCAATTTTTGCAAATGGGACTCAGTTGTTCTTTCATGTATTTTATGCTTTAAGTAGATTGCATAAATTTTAGAAGAACAAGGAGTTTGAAATTTTTTTCCTCATCGCTGCTTGTTTCTACCAATCTTTAAAGTATCAAACTTTGAATTCCGTTATTAATCTTTTACCTTCAACTTTGGGTGTTCCTACCTTATCCCATCTCTCTCTCTTTTTATTTTTTTAATCTAATCTACATTGCTTTATTCATTTAGGTTTAAAGCATACTGTTATTAAGGCACTTGAATTTCCTCCTGCCAGCTACAGACTTTTTTTTCTAATTCTTTTATGTTTAGTTCTTTGCTAGAATGACAGTGACAGTATCCCTACTAAACCGGAGTTGGTTATTATGAATTACCATTTCATTTTTCTTGTGATTCTAGTATTTTTTTTAAAAAAAATCCATTTTCAGGTTTATGTTATGATTAAAGCGGTTCTTACTTTCAGAGTGGCGTCTCGTACATAGAGTGCTTGCATGGGATTTGGTATATTTTGGATAGAAGCAATATGGATTGTATCAATCCTCGGGAAGATAGCTCCAGGTTTGGGTCGTTACCAGCAACGACCTCAAGGAACATGTCATCATCATCTTCTGTATTCTTTTCAGCAAACCAGTCACCATTCTTCTCTCCAAGATCACCGAAGTGTCAATTGTCGGAGTCAACAAGATCTGATGCTCAATGTGATAGCATTTTTTTAAGTTCTGATCCTCTTAGTTCTAGTTCAGGTGTCCGAGATCCTGAGTCCTTGGTAAATGTCGGATTTGCCTTGTCAGATATGTTGTCGAGGCCTGCTGCAGGTACATCAAGTGATTTCCTGAAGCTGGACCCCCCGCCTTCAACAGCTGGTGTTTCAAATAACAGTCAGTCCATTTATGGCCATAACCATGAAAATAATTATCATGTAAGAGGGAAATATCAAAAGCATTCAAGAGGTTACGAAATGCCATCTACTCCAGCTTCAGTTTCACTTTCTTCTAGTAGGCTAAGGTGTTGTGATGTTTTCATTGGTTTACATGGTCGCAAACCTTCCTTAGTGAGGTTTGCTAATTGGCTTCGTGCTGAGTTGGAGATTCAAGGGATTAGTTGTTTTGCATCTGACAGAGCTCGATGTAGGACCTCTCGGAAACATGGAATTGTCGAGAAGGCAATGGATGTTTCTTCATTTGGGGTTGTAATTTTAACAAGGAAGTCATTCAAAAATCCATATTCAATTGAGGAGTTAAGATTTTTTGCAAGCAAAAAGAATTTAGTTCCAGTATTCTTTGATTTGAGTCCCAGTGATTGCCTTGTCAGAGACATTGTTGAAAAGAGGGGCGAGCTTTGGGAGAAAAATGGTGGTGAGCTATGGGCTCTGTACGGAGGGTTGGAGAAGGAATGGAAAGAAGCTGTTCATTGTCTTTCAAGGGTTGATGAGTGGAAGCTGGAAGCTCAGGATGGTAACTGGAGAGACTGTATATTAGGGGCAGTCACATTACTGGCAATGAGGTTAGGGAGGAGAAGTGTTGTTGAGAGGTTGGCTAAGTGGAGAGAGAAGGTAGAGAAAGAGGAGTTCCCTTTCCCTCGAAATGAGAATTTTGTTGGCAGGAAGAAAGAATTGTCTGAGCTAGAATTTATGCTTTTTGGTGAAGTTAGTGGAGATTCTGAAAGAGATTATTTTGAGCTCAAGGCTAGGCCAGCTAGAAGGAAAAATTTGACAATTGGGTGGAGTAAGAGCAGTTTAGTGGAGGAGAGGCGGAGGGAACGACAACAGGGGAGTGGCAGCAGGAAGGGTAAAGAAAAAGTAGTATGGAAGGAGTCAGAAAAGGAGATTGAGATGCAAAGTACTAACTTTCCCCAATCAATGCAGCACCAGTCAAGGACGAGGAGCAGTGGACGGCACGCAAGAAGAAAAAGATCAACAAAGATTCTGTATGGGAAAGGGGTTGCCTGTGTGTCGGGGGACTCAGGAATGGGCAAGACAGAACTTCTTCTGGAATTTGCATACCAATATCACCAGAGGTACAAGATGATTCTATGGATTGGTGGTGAAAATAAATATATCAGGCAAAATTATTTGAATCTCCAGTCATTTTTGGATGTAGATGTGGGGTTCAAAAACTCAGAGAAAAGCAGGATAAAGAGCTTCGAAGAGCAGGAAGAAGCTGCTATCTCTAGGGTTCGGAAGGAGCTCATGAGAAATATACCATGTCTGGTGGTGATTGATAACTTAGAGAGTGAAAAGGATTGGTGGGATCGGAAGCATGTAATGGATCTTCTTCCTCGTTTTGGTGGGGAGACCCACATAATAATATCTACTCGTCTTCCACGTGTGTTGAATTTGGAACCTCTGAAACTTTCTTACCTTTCTGGAGTTGAGGCAATGTCTTTGATGCAAGGAAGTGCCAAAGATTACCCAGTGGCTGAAATTGATGCCCTCAGGATTGTTGAAGAGAAAGTTGGAAGACTGACTCTGGGTCTTGCCATTATAGGTGCAATTTTATCTGAGCTACCAATAAATCCAAGCAGGCTTTTGCACACCATTAACCGAATGCCTTTAAGGGACTTTTCATGGAGTGGTAGGGAAGCTCATTTATTGAGGAGAAACACTTTTTTCTTGCAACTCTTAGAGGTATGTTTCTCAATATTTGATCATGTGGATGGGCCGAGGAGCTTGGCAACCAGAATGGCCCAGGCAAGTGGTTGGTTTGCACCAGCTGCAATTCCTGTATCCTTTCTAGCCTTAGCTGCTCATAAAATACCGAGGAAGGATAAAGGGACCAAGTTGTGGAGAACAATGTTACATTCTTTACTTTGTGGTTTTAATTCCTACACAAAGCGATCAGAAGCAGAAGCGGCTTCGATGTTATTGAGATTTAATGTTGCAAGAAGTAGTACAAAGCATGGCTATCTCCATGTCAATGAAGTCGTCAAGCTTTATGCTCGACAGAGAGGAGCTGATGGAACTGCACATGCTGTTGTTCAAGCCATCATAAATCGCGGATCTATATCCCAACATTCAGAACATATTTGGGCAGCATGCTTCTTGCTATTTGGATTTGGTAATGAACCTTCTGCTGTTGAGCTCAAGGTCCAAGAATTGTTATCCCTTGTCAAACAAGTTGTTTTGCCTCTTGCAATTCGGGCATTTGTTACATTCTCTCGATGCAGTGCTGCTTTAGAACTCCTCTACCTCTGTACCAGTGCTTTGGAAGCAGCAGAGCAAGCCTTTATAACTCCAGTTGAGAAGTGGTTGGACAAATCACTTTGCTGGAGGCCCATCCAAACGAACGCTCAGTTGAATCCCTACCTGTGGCAGGAGTTGGCACTATCACGAGCAACAGTTCTAGAAACTAGAGCCAAGCTAATGCTTAGAGGGGGCCAATTTGACATAGGGGATGATCTTATTAGGGAGGCAATTTTTATCAGAACATCAATTTGTGGGGAGCATCATCCAGACACCATATCAGCACAAGAAATTCTGGGTAACATCACTAGGCTTCTGGCAAATGTTCAAAGTCATACTTCACCATAGGGTTTTATTATTTTTTTTTGTACCAAAACTTACATTAGATCTATACAAAGTTACTAATAAAACTGCTGAAAACAGTTGAGGGGAATTTTCCACACCATTTTTACATTAATGAGATTCCTTTCTATTTATGATTTCTTCCATTTTGCTAATGAAATTAATTCATGGTTTTTGGCATCATATAACTTTATTTCTTCAAATGCTCTGTCAAGTTTCCATTATGGCAAACTTTCTAACCACAGTTTTGTATCTGACCCTTGTTGATGGGATTTTTTGTTCTGCCAACTGGATTTCTTGAAAGTAACAGAGATCAAAGAGATGCTGCCGTAGTAAAAAGTTGGTGCTGCCAAGCACAAAAGAGCTACTTCAGGTCTTGATGCCAGGCAGTTCATGCCAAAAAGTGAAAGGATAGGAGTTTATGGACCAACTGTATATTTGTTGCTTCGGAAGCTCCTTGTATGAGCAATAAACCTTTCAACTACATAATGTAGCCATCATTTGCTGGAGCTTTCATACGTTTTTATTTGAGGTGAATTCTTTCTCATGTAATTTCAATGTAATACATTCACCATTTTATACATTTTCTTATGTGAAGGAGAAGGAGAAGGCCTACCAGCTAACTGCAGAGCTTTCTCTGCACTCAAAAGTTTGTCTTGCTCTTTCAAATTATATTTGTTATTAGTAACTCACCTTTATAAATTTGTCTTGAATGCTGTTCTTTACTTCTCTTTGAGAGGTTCAAGATGTACTTTTTCTGGTCAAAGGAAACACCACTTTATTGTAAAAGCACATTACTTGATCTTAATCTGAAACCAAATCAAAGTCTGGATCATTGTAGTTGGTTGCTGAAGCTTAAAAATATCTGCTAAGAATCAGATTGTATTGCTGCTGAAGATATGAAGCTTTCACATACATAAGAAATTTGTTGGAGGTTTCTTCACATCATGCCGACTCTTATTAAGATTTCTAGAATTTTGCATGAAATTCATTGGTGCAAGCTCTAAATGCTCATTTGTCTTAAAGAGGTTTGGACGATAAATTTTCTGTTATATCTGCTCCATTGCATATTCCCGCTATGCTTAACTTGTCTTAAAGAGGTTTGGACAATAAATTTTCTGTTATATTGCTCCATTACATATTTGTTCGAGAGTTGACAGTACAAATTCTATTCCATGATAGTAAAAAAACTTGTATATCTGGGAATCTGAAATCTTGGATATTTCTGGTTTTCAAAATTTTTATAAAATCCTTTACTTGCATATATGTGTGTGTGTGTTTATGGCTATTAGCACAGTATGTACAAACTCTGTCATTGTAGAAATGAGCTTGTTTTGTTTTTTGTCCATTTATCCTATTCAAGGATATACATTGTTTATTCATATGTTCCCAAGTTTCAAAATGAAGGCTGCATTCTACACTGTATTATTCTCTTTATAGCTTTTGATACTTCGTTTTCTCCTAAAATTTTAGGACTTATTTAGGGGTATATTTTATTTAATTGCTGATTTGAGTTAGAGGGAAAGCTGTCTTCATGTGAAAATAGATAAGACAAGATAACATTGTTTTTATTTAGAAGATGAGTTTTGTTTATTCCTTAATGTTATCGACTAAAGAATGTGTGTGCTAACTTGTTTCAACACAACCGGCTTTTAGCGCCTTGTCTTTCGGGTTGTTGGAGAGTAAAGCATTGGAAACTGTTGGTTATCTCCTGCATTTTTGGTGGGTACAAGTCATATGATTGCATTAAATTGAGTTTGATCACGAGGATTATTTGAAACTTTTGGAGTAAAGTCAAAGGAAGTTGCATTAGTTTCTCAAAAAGGTAGAAATATTGAAATCTTGATTTCATTTTGCAGCTGATGCCCCTGAACTTGGATTTTACTTGATATGGTAACAAGGCAACCAAGAAAAGCACTCTTGAATTCTCTGGTTAGGATCTTCTTTCCTGTATGTGTGTGTGTGTGTGTGTATATAAATTGATAATTGATGAATTATAATGCAGTTAGAAGTAAAAAAATTATAATTTGAAACGAGTATAGACGTATATGAATCAAATGGCACATCCGACCCATCTTTTAGTTATATACATACTTAAATGCTAATCGGCCTATGTTTATACTTTCCTTTTCAACTCCCTTTACTTAGGGTTTATCTTGTATGATTAACCAAATTAGGAAAAAGAAACCAGAATCTTTTTATTATTTTGATCCTTTTTCTTGTATGATTAACCAAATTCACCCACAAGCAATTTAACTATGAATTTTGACTTTAAATGAAAGAAAATAGATTTACATGCAAAATCAAATGTATTCAAATTATTATGGGTAGGCAACAAACAATAAAATTAATCCAACTCTCTTTCTTCTCAGTTACAGGTGAAGAAGGCTGAATAAAGACTCTCTTCGAGGTTGAAAGAAGGAAGAAAGAAAATGAGTTTTATTAAGGCTTCGCAAAACGCTGTCGTTTGAGAAACCGGATTGTTGCAAGCTTATTTCGAAAGGGGTCGGGCTAACTGGGCTGATTGTTGAGAAGCCGGACTTTTCCCACTTTCTCTTTCTCTCTTTTCTGCTTTTATTTTTTCTCTTTTTTTCTCTCTCTTTTTTCTTTTTCTCTTTTTTTTTTTAAAAAAAAATATTTTCTTGTTTTATTTTTTTATTATTTCTCTGGTTTTCCTTTTTTTTTTTAAACTCACTTTCCTCCAATTTTTTCTCTCTCCTTTTCTTTAAACTCACATAATAATAAATTTAATTTCTTTTTTAAAAAAACTAGAGTAGATCTCATGTATTTCTAAAAGTATCTCTAATAAAATATATTATGAATTTTGGGAAAAGAGAAAGTTGAGTCTGTATTTTATTAGACCATTTGAAATTTAGGAGAAGATTATAATAGTTGCATATAGTCTAATACTATTGCTTGATTTATCAAGTATTTATGATATCTTTCATATTGATATTATGGAAATAATAATCATCCTCTTTACATATTATTTGGTATGATTTTATATATATTAAACGATATTTATCTTATATTGATATTTTAACACATATTTTCTATTATAAAAAAATAGTACTCTAATAAAAAAGATTTCATTAGTAAAAATTTTATAATAAAACCATTCATTAGAAGAAGCAATAAGAGAACATGAATATGATATAAACAAAATGTACGTATATTTATTTATGACTTTTGGTAAATAAAATTTAAAAATTAAATTTTTTAAGATGTGGAGAATGTGACAATCTCAAATGTAACAACCCTGAAAATTCAAAGGAAATAGATAATAACTTAAGTGCAGAACCAAAATAAAATAGTTAAACTTTACATTCCTTACACAATAACTTCAAAGTACTAAACAGTATTAAAAAATTCACTTTTTTGAAAGAAACACAAGAAATAAGGAAATAAACGGAAAAGAAAAAATATCTAGCATCTACTCGCAATCTTCTTACAGATCAAGCTCTAAAACCTAGTCCTCTTGATCTGAAATGGTTAAATAAGGAATGAACTACACTACCCCAGTAAAGATATTACACTATATCACCGATACAGAAATAAATGTGGATATAAAAACAAAAACAACTAATGAAGTACTAAATTTAGCAAATCCATTTATCAATCATAAAATCATTTACGGTTCACTTACCACAGTTGAATTTATGAAAATAACATATGCATACAATAATATCATACAAATCATAATTTCATGTAAGATCACTAACATAGCACATATCATAAATCTATACACATCGTCAAATAATCAAACAATAACTGTCACTTTTTCACCAACCTACTAGTATTCATGGGAGTTCATAGGGATGTCCCCGCTACAAGTAACCCATTTTCTTTAACAATCTTAATTACGGGTCGTCTCCATACCCCGTCCGGTATGAGTACTAAATTATTAAACTTCAATACCCTGTTTGGTATGAGGGTGAAGCGGGTCGTCCCTATACCCCATCCGGTATGAGCGCCAAATTATCAAGTCTCAATACCTCGTCCGGTATGAGACAACGTTCACGGTAGAGTTCCCTATGTACCCGGTCCGTCCATAATCTCTCAGGATATCTAGTAAGACTACCATTTTATCTGTTTATTTAATCACACAACTTTTCCGTTTTTCTTTAGTCTCCATTTTTCAAATCAACTATGATCACATAAACAAACAAACATGTATTAGCGAATGCAATCATATCTCAATTTTCCAATCAAATAGTAGTCACGTAAGGCTTCAATTCACGTATTCAAACCATAAAATTGATAAACTAGATACCATCATACTTTTAGACTATAAAATAAATTAATAGAAATTAACAAAGAACAATTTCTAGTTCGGGCTCCATTAGTAATCCGTAATTAATTATGCTCATTTATTTAATTTGCACAAATGCCAAATTATTATTTATTTAAACTTCAATTCTATGATAGGGAATAGGGTGAGAGATCTTTATTCGATTTGTCGCTCGAAAAGCTAAGTTGTTTACTGCGTCTACAGGCGGTCCCTGAGTTTCTTGAATTTTTTTTCTAAGAATCGAAACGTGCTAATAGTACATACAAATATTCCAAACAAACCCAAAATCAGTCTTAGGGCCCACTCGGCCAATTTCAGAATTCTAGCACGGCAGCTCCGCTGTGCTCCGGCGACAGCGGCGCCGCTTGCTACCTTAAATCGGCTGTTTTCGGCCGATTTTGCATCGATCCCTGCAAGAAAACACGTTAAAGAGCATCGGTTAGCCAAAAAAATTGAAACTCACCAGTGGTGGGGCTCTCTGGTGCGGCGGCTCTTCTGGCACACGTTGCGGTTGGGTGTTTTGCTCCAGTCAACCTGTAGAGAGGGATACGGTGATCACAATGGTAAAAAAATTACACAGAATGGGAATCGGGAAGGACATCATCGGAGGCGTTTTGTGAAATTCTCTGCGGCGGTGCCGCTGGTGTTTTTCAGTCAATTGGCTGGTCTTTTACTTCGATTTGGCCATGGGTGAGATTAAAATTGAATTTCGTGCAAAAAAAAAAAGTTTTTACATTTTTTAGCAGTCAAAAAGGGTTCCGGTGCGGTGACGGTCTACTCTTCGGCGGCTGGGTCGTCTTCTCCGGTGAAGGGGTATGGTGACTAGGGTTAGGGTTTGGTGCGGATGA